AGAGAGAGAGACGAAGGTGAGGAGGAGGGAAAGGGACCGAGGAGGGAGGAAGAGATCCCCGCCTCCTGGTACCTGCAGCTGCTGCTGCTGAGGCGGCGATGGCCGCCGTGCTGCTGCTGCTGTCCTCGCTCGCTGCTGCCGCTGCGCTAGGTCGCTCTGCTGCTGCCCTTCGCTCCTGCGCTAGAAATAGCGCTCAAACGGCGCTCTGGCGCCGACCTTACCGCACCGCGTAGAATACTGGTGGGTTCGATGCCTCGAAGTGAGGCTGGACCAGTACTAAGTACTGGTTCGAAGAGGACCGGCCTCACTGCTGCGAGGCCTTGGTTGGGGCTGAACCGTCCAAATCGACGATTCAGGTCCAACCGGAGAGCGGCAGCCTCAAACGGCGCCGTCAGGCCCAAAGACGAAATGTCATTTGGGCCTGGTCCGTAGTCGGGTCCAAGTCGTGGCCTTTCGGCCTGTTATCCCCCAAGGTCGGGCCTTTAGGCCCTGATGTGTCCCTCTAGACCTAAGTCGGGTCCGGTAGGACCCGTGTGGCGTCGACGATGTAGCAAGCCCTATGGGGAATCGACGTGTACTGCACCGTCGCTAAAGATACTCCTGGGGGACAATCGACTCACGCTGCTCGTGAGGATAAAAAATAGTGCAGACTGGGCTGGCCAACTGGTACTTACCCGGGGCAAACGGGCGGGCCATTGTGCACACCTTTAGACACTCCGCTGAACAGATGCCTCTAGGACGTTGTTGGTGACAAAGATAATCAAGAAGGGTCCAGAGGAATGGTGGGTTCCAATTGACAGGTCATTTATTAGTAGTTATTACTCATTTTAACATTCCATGCAGCATATATTCATTCAAATGATTTTATGTTCGTTTTGAGAACTTAGATGTGAAACGGTTTTCGATTCCACCCAATATGATAGAAATCATTCACGAGAAAAGAGGAATCCTGAGAGGCTGGCGATCGCGCCGTCAGTAAGCGCGAGCGCTCACGCGCCCACCTGCGTGTCCGGCATCGCGCGACGCGTTTTTCTACCCACGAACCCGCCATCGCCGACGCACACGGCCACGCGCCACCTCCACGCCCGCCTTCACGCGAAGGCTGCGTCGGCTGCACCATCGCCCGCCATCGCCCGCTACAGGAAGTGAAAGGGGGAGAGAGAGAGAGAGAGAGAGAGAGAGAGAGAGAGAGAGAGAGAGAGAGAGAGAGAGAGAGAGAGAGAGAGAGTGAAAGGGAAGAAAGGGATGAGAAGAGGAAGAGCGTAACCAGGAGAACAATCGGCGAAACGCGCATGTGGGGAGACACCATCGAGGAAGTAGCGCGAATCGAAATTCGGAGCGAGTGGAGTGGGACAGAGAAGGGCAGCTGGGAAGAGCGTTGCACACGCAAACGTGGAGCTGAAAAGTCTAGCCAGCTGAATCTGGTCGAGAAAGTGGTTCAGATACGGTCAACAGGCAACAATAAAGTGAGATCTGACATTAACTTACCTCTTTCCCATCAATCGACTAACTCCTACCCCATGATCTAAAGTCACTCCAAGCCCCCCCCTCCCCAACCCCCCCTCGATTCTCGTTCCCCCCCCCTAACCATTTCCCTCACCTAATGAACGTAACATCTTGTCCTTCCCTCTTCGATAATCAAGATCTTTCACGCCTCTTGTAGATCCCCTTGACCCCATTTCCACGCCCTCCAGATCCCGACCCCGACATAATCCCACCCCCATCTCAATCCCGACTATCTCGATCTCGCTCGCACCTCGACCTCGATCCCGACCCTGTCCCAACTCCACCCCGAACCTTAACCCCGACCCCGATCTGACTCCAGTCCGTACCCTATCCGACCCCCCTAACCTCTTTCTGCCCCGACCTCAACCCAACCGGTGTGACCCCATCCCAAGGCGCTTCCTTCCCGATCCCGATCTTGACCCCCTTATCCATCCCAACCCTGAGCCCGACCTTACACCAAGCCCGATCCCCAATCTCATCCTCATCTCACCCTGACCTCGCCCCGATCTGACCCCGATCTCGTCCTGATTTCACCCCGACCTCCCCCGTTCTAACCCCAATCTCGCCCCAAAGCTCTGCCTGACCCCATCCTGCTCCTGCCCCCAACTCATTCCATTTTCCCATACCGGTCGTACCTTTATCCCTCCTGCTCTCATCCCGTTCCCGCTCTTAGCCCGACTTCCTCCTTCCAGACTTTGTCCCCGTCTCGATCCCGACCTCATTCCCGAACCAGTTCCATCCCCGATCTGACCCCATCTCGAATCCATCTCAAATCCTATCCGACCCAACCCCCTTCTGCCCCGAGCTCATCCCACCCGGCGTGATCTCATCCCAAAGTGTTTCCCTCCCGATCCCGATCTTGACCCCCCTATCCATCCCGATCCTGAGCCCGATCTTACACCAATCCCGACCCCCAACCTCATCAGGATCTCGCCCTGACATCGCCCCGTTCTCATCCCGATCTCGTCCCAAGCCCATGCTGACCCCACTCGGCTCCCGTCCCGACTTCACCCTGTTCTTACACCGACCTTATCTCGTAACACGCGCGATCTCAGCCTGCTCCCAATCTTATCCCGACGTGAATCCTCTCTTGGCCCCGATCCCGTTCCCGACCCGTTCACGACCCCGATCCCATCACGACCATAATCTCACCAAACTGTTTGCCAAGACACTGTCTTTTCCCCCCAACCTCTCCTTTCCTCTCTTCATCTTCCTCCCCCCCCCCCCCCCCCCCCCCCTCCCCCCCTCCCCCATCCTTGACATCCCCAAGAGGCCGTAACAGACCAGATAACTACGCCCGAGTGAGACAGGATCGGAATCACTAAAAAATGGATGATGGCTACCCTAACACCACCTACGAGCCCCTCTGACCAGGAAGCACCAGACAACACTGTGAGTGTCATTGATAACGAAGCCCTCAGATTCCTAATCGAGAAGACGAAAGTCCAAGGGATTGAATCCACTGGGAAACAGGTCGTCGAGGGGAAGGAAGAGGAGGTGGTTATATGGAAGTACCCAGAGGAAAAGATTGCAGAACTAGACGATCTTCATGAGAGACATGGTGTAGTCTTTAACTTCACACGGCATGGGGCTGCTCCAGCCAGGAAAGAAGAGAAAATGGATAATCAAAACCATCAAGAAGGAACCGAAACTCAAACAGACTGGGGACACGTACACAGTGCAGAATCTTGGTCGAAACAACATTATGGTAGTCTTTATCCACGAAATCCACGCACGAATCGCAACGGAAATGAAATCCAGAAATGCCACGGGTCAATATGCACCATCACAAAATGGAAAAAGTTGTCAGCACAAAGACAAAACCCGGTCTTTGCAGTATCATATAAGCAGACCCTACTGAAAGAGAACTTCTGGGTCCAATTCGACAACATCCAACCCGGATTCCATGGCTTATTAGTGGACAGACTGGCCCCCCACTATGGAACCATGACAGCGATATTAGATGTACAAACAGATGACCCTCTTGTGTTTCCAGCAGTCTGGAAACTCCACATAGAAGGCACAATGGTGGAGGTGAGGATTTCAACCAGGACCTCACCGATCTGCTTTCGCTGCAGAGAACGAGGTCACTTGGGAACTGATCCTACTTGCCCCAAGTTTCCGAAGCAAGCAAAAGAAAGGAAATTGCTTCCCAACATGCTGGTAGAAGTTGAAGACGCGCCCGGTGTTTGGTATGTGGTAGATCCCAGTTATGATGGGTGGGTTTTCGACGAGAACCTGGACGAACCAGATTGGGTTTGGCACTTCATGGACCAGACACCGTCGGTAAAAAAAACAGACATTTTCCCACATGCAGACAGCAGATGGCAGAAGAAGGCAATTGGGAAAGTGAGAGGCAATCCAACTAAGATCAACACTGACCCCCTCACAGACTCAAGAATAATCAGGGAAGAGAAAGCAAGGGAAGACCTGTTGTGTGACCTGGGCACTATAAGAGAACAAATCGAACAAGAATACAACAAAGATCCAGTTTCATTCAAGGAAGCGCTGAAACAGGCTGAACTGCATATGTACAAAAAAGGGGGCAACACATGTGGAAAACAAAAGGTCTGCACAAGGAATCTGCAGTCAGACAGACAAAGAAATGAGCCCAAAGAGAAGAAAAGCCGAAGATGATGGAAAGGGAAAGAAAGTGGAAATGACGGGAACCCCGGAAAGGGAAGGTGCATCTCGGACAGACACGACGGGAGGAGAGGCGGACAACGAAGCTGAGGGAAGGAACAACTCATCAGATCCCATCTGTGCAGAGGAGGACGACTGTTCCGGCCGATCCCTGGCCTGGCTCCGAGAATATGTTGAAAAAGCAAAGAGGGAACGGGAACACGCTTTTGATATCTGAGTAGCCAGTCTGGATCATGCAGAGCGGCCTCAGGTGAATGGCAAAAAAGCTACCATTGTAGGGATCAACAACTCTTCCAACCAGTTTGAGTTACTCAGGAAGGAGAAGGCAGAGGAATTCTCGAGATACGGAGCTTTTAGATATGCAGAAAAGAAAAGAGCAAGAGACCAAGGGACTGAAGACAAGGACAAAACCATTCCTACAATCAAAGATAGTCTGCTGGACATGCGTCCCAAATCAAGAAAAATGAGCAAAAATCAGAAAAGGAAGGACCTGGACAAGGGACAGATGGAAACTGAGGAGGGTTCAGAACGCATCATCTTGGAGAAGGAGGCTGCAGTAGTGTTGTCACAAACAGAGAAGTTGAGGAAATGGAACAAAGAATACACCTCAGAATTTACTACCATCACTCAAATAGCTGCTGGCAAGGCTCCGATGGTAACAGAATCGGCCACAACAGCTCGGAGAACCTTGAGGAACATTCGTCCTCTCATCGTAGCCAGACATGTGGCCAAAACGCAAAAGTGGCAGATCACCACGGATGTCTCCTTCAAAATCCCCCACTTCGTGGAAGGGGTGAACGTTGTCAAGGTGCTTGGGACCCAAGTGACAACGGAAACCCCTCTGGCCATCTTCGAGATAGTAGCCCTGGATGACAGCCGGATAGACACCAACTTAGATGAAGACTCGGAGAACTCACAGAGGAGCACGGGGGAAACAACCAGGAACTCCCCAAGGGCCTTTTCACCCCTGATCGTTAAAATGCCAGAATCAACAAGATTAAGTTCTGGGATGATTTGGAAACCTTGGAGGACAGTGGTTGAGGTCTCTTATAGCATCCTGGCAGATATGGGTATGTCTGCTGAATTGATGGCCACAATAGTCGCACATATCGCCTCTACGGGGTTGTTGGAAGGGGATGATGATCTAGATGCACGAGCTTACGCCACCGACTGTGAGAGGCTCTACAGGAGCGACGAGTCGGGCTGCGACTCAGGGGATGAGGACGATGAAATAGATAAGATGGAGGGGCTCCAGGAACTGGAGGAAGACGACGGTGCAAACGATGACCAAGTGGAAGCAGACTCAGGGGGAGTAAGTCGACCATCTTCGTCAGGAGAAAAGGGGATGGAGTCTGATCAGGAGGCAGTCGAAGGAAGGGAGAACGAGGAAGGACCCCCCCTCCCCCCTTAGGTTTCTTATGCAAATATACATGAATCATGACACAATGATACATCAGAATGACACATCAATAGGCATGGTATCACACCAAGCTTAGTGTACAATTACACCAAAATAAGTGTGCAAGTCAAAGAATGATTGAATTGAAAAATAGCACGTTAAGCACTCCGCCACTCATTCCACTACACCCCGTGGTCCGCCTGACACGTCCACTACCCGACTAGCGCTACCGAATGATAGCGCCCAGAGAGGACTATCACAACACAACCATTCTCTATATATACCCGGTCAACCCAGCTGCTTGCCGAAGTAACCCGGCTACTTGCCGAAGTAACACACCGGTCCATCACACCAGTCCCAGGGTCCAAATGCCCGCAAGCCAAACGGCGTCGAGGTAACACCTCAGTCCATCACACCAGTCCCAGGGTCCAAGTGTCCCGTAAACCAAACAGCGTCCACTAGGCAACAGGATCAGCCAAATTACAAGTCCTACCGTGGAAACCGGGTCAAAGGGGTACGTTTATTCAGAGCCAAAACCAAAACAAAGCCAAAAACACGCCAGACCCGGGCTCAAGTGGCCGACTCCTACCATCAAAACTGTCACAAAAACCCTGTCACTCAATTGCAATTCCACCTATCCCGAGCCAAATCCAAAGCAAAGTCAAAACACGCCCGACCCGGGCTCGAGGGGCCGACTCATCCTGTCGAACATACCATGTAGACCCTGACCGTCAACACACTTCCTATACCACCCTACCAAGCTGAAGAAATCAGCGAATAGGTCCATTGCCAGGGCTCATCACGGCCATGCGAAAATCTTTTCAGAACACGATCAACAAATTTATCCGGAAACAGTTTCAAACGCAGTTCCCTCTTCAACGTGATCACCCTCCTGGGTATCTCAGACCTCACAGTAGTATTTATGTCGATCCGGTGGAGATAACTTGCCACAATGGCACTCTTTTGCGCCTTGCTTCCCCATGAATTATAAGTCTGGCCATTCAGGAATTCGAGCTTCTCAACTGTCCAAATAGTTGCCTCATTCTTTGACAACTGCACACTTTCCACGAAAGGGGGTTCACTGTGTATCCTTATTTCACAACCCAGGAAATCCCAAGAGTTGTTCCCAGTATCCGTCCATTTGAGTGTCAGATTCTCCGGGTAACATGTCTCAAAGTCCTGAAAGATCTTTTCAACGACATCACAATCCCCCTTACTGCCGATAATCAGGCCCACGTCATCAATCAGCCTCAGACCAAAAACATTCGCCCGTGCTCACCCTAGACTGTTAAGAAAATCAAATTCTGCTTTTGCGCACATGATATAAGCCAAGGGAGGGCTAGTACTCTTTCCCATTGGTATACCCAACTCCTGTTTGACCAATACGGACAGGGCAAAGGTAAAGGTATGAGACAATTCAAACTTGACAAAGCATCGAATATCCTCGAAGTCTAGTCTTCTCCAGTGGTCATAGCCCGTACTCAAGCCAAACGAGGCACCTCTACCACGAGCGTTAACTCTCACAAAATTCCTCCCCTTTGAGGCATGGTAATCCAGTAACCATTCCGTCGCTCTGATTATGTCAGCATGCGGTAGCAGGAGGAACATATCTTTTACATCATAGGAACGCGATACAACATTGACTGCCCCAATCCTGTGCATCTGCTTATTACACTTGTCCAGATTTCTGTCAATAGTGACATGGCCTTCAGATTGAAGTGCCAGTCGGCTGGCAGGGTGTTCAACAAATGGTTCAAACCTTTAGCTACAGCTTTACTTGTTCTTGCCGTAGGTTCTGAGAAAGCAGGACAGATCGGTCGGAATCGGTCAGGGTCCTTATGCTTAGGAATCGCATAAGCCTGACCGATCGTCCCTTTCTTATCCCAGCGTGCGAATTCCTGGATCCCATGAACTTTCAAGTCTTCATGCATACTTACCAACACTTCCCCAGCATCCCTTGCGATAATCGAATATCCCGCATTTCGGATAAATAATCCCATCATTCCTTCGTAATATAATCGAGGACACATTACCATAGTTACCCTCGGATTCCTGTCAAGTGGCGTCAACACCAGCCCTTCGAGCTTCTTCTTCCAGACAAGGACTTCATCCAGGCACATCATGCTATCATCAACTACCAATTCACTTTGCATGCATGATTCCAACTCATCCAAAGAACAACAGATCCAAATTCCTTTGTTGTTAGGCCAGGCATGAAAGGCATCCTCAATTTCAGCCTTCAAAGTACAAGTATGATCGAAGATGCGGGGTTTAGGGACATTGTTAGCGTTCGAAAGAAACTCAGGTACACCTTCAATCTCATGCAACCGGAACTGCACGTGACCTCTTACCCGTGGGTAAGGCAAACCTGCGCAACCGCAGGCTAACACATTAGCGCGAGCATAACTCCGCCGATTGTGTAACAAATCAGAAATACTTGGATTCTGCCTCCAAATAATCCTGATCTTATGGCGTGCACGTACCTTAACACAAGGTGGAAGATGAAGCCCACTCAACTTATCATTAGCCGATTCCCGGACTTTCGAAAGTTTAATTCGATTATCATACAACAGTCGCACAACAATTCTTGCAGAGAAATCAAAACCAAACCCATCACGAACCAATCTAGCTATCCGGCGTCGCAAATACGTTTTGGTACCTTTTTTCTCGAATGTTTTTGCGGAGGTAAACAAGCGCGACAACGAGTGCAGGTCCCACTTTTTTAAGGATTCAAAGCTCCTAGGATTCTTCAACAATGAGATCAACAACGGCTTATCAGTGTCGACACGTGGTGACCATCTACGTAAGTAGATGAAATGAACCACACACCCTTGCTCGTACTGAGAGCGAAAATCCTTAAAACGGCCCAACACCTCGTTAACTTGAACAATCGACGTCCCAAAGGCTTTCCGCAACTTCCTCCAACGATCAACCCTAAAGTTCCCAGAATCCACAATTAAACTGAATTCCCTAGTTCCTTTATCATCAAGTTGGCGTAGGCATTCGAAAACTTGTACCGTAGGTTCGTCGCTCGAGACGGTCCTCACCCAAATAGGACAGAACGACTGTGGTTCCCGACCACGAGTTACCTTACCAAGCCGTTCGCGCTCGCGTTTCCCTACACGGTTATTACGTTTCTTCGAAATCACAACGCGTCCGGCAGTATTCAAATACGGGGACCATCTCCTAATAAATGACGATTCAATGGCCGGTAAGTCCTTCATCGGTCCAGACTCAACAGGTATAAGTACGTAAGATTCGATACCAAAGCTCTTCCACCAACGATACAGATGGGACGATTTCGCACTTCGTTTAGAAACGGAGACGTGCTCGTTCCATCTTGTGTTGGGTTCCCTCGAGGTCTGTCCGACATACAGTGATTTACATAACACTGAGGTGACTACATACACACGACCTCGGTGGCTCAAAAAATTAACGCCATAACGCTTGAACATACCTAGCCATGAATCAATACACTTACCGAGCCATCGAATATACCCACGCAATGTTAGATAAACCACCAACAAACGGAAAAACAACTCAACATCTGGATGGGTACAACCGGATTCACGCCGGTAGCCAATTACCACGTCGCAAATCACTCCCCAGTATTCCACAGATCGCTCTTTTCAATTCGTCGGTTCATCCTCGGAATTCTCCGGACTAGACTTCACACTATCCTCCCAGGCCTCGTCTTCCCCCGCCTCCCGCTTACCTTCATCATACTTAACACGAGCTCTTGCATCCGCGATATCAAAGATCGCTTGGACTTTGGCAGCAAATCCAACGCCAGCTTCACGGCAAAGCACTCGCAATTGGTCGCAATTGCAGAGTGCAAGTTCCCGCCGAGTGCGATCCAGAAAGATCATTCGCTCCATCGCCATATCTCGCGCAGGTGGTTTAACAGCTGTCTGTGCTTTATTAAGCGCACGGCCACCCTTCTTGCTTATGCGTGTGCGGGTTCGCTGCAGACGATCGGAGAACTGGAGGGGCCAAACCGTAGTGCGCTTGTTCGCACGCTTGGCTGGGGTCGTCACGGGGGGACTATTACCCACCGGGGTCTCCTCGCCCCTCTTCCGCTTCTCACAAATCTCCAGTCGCTCAGTCCCTTCTGTGATCACATCAACATCATTATCTCCAGCTCCCGATCCCGAGGTTGATGGCAATTGTTCCACCACTTTGGCCTTCCTCTTCTCGACATCCCCGACAACTCTCCTAATTTCATTTTGAAGGTTTTCACAGATATTGCCGATACAAAGAGCTAGTTGCATTTCAACCACCTTCGTTAATTCCAGTTGATCTTCTTCTCGCTTCCTCAACTTCTCCATCTTCTTAGCAGCCTTCGCCGCTTCAGCTTTACGTTCCTCCTCTTCACGAAGCCTAGCTTCTTCCTTCTCACGTCGTTTCTTCTCCTTCTCGTTCCGTCGTGCCATCTCCAGATCCACAAATTCAGGCAAGGTGGCCACGCTCTGACCCAACTCGTCAAGCCGAGATACAGTCTTCGAATCAATCGATGGTGATCGCCGAATCCCAGTTGCCGCAGCTCGACATGGTGACACGGACCGTCCTCGACGGTCAAATTCAGGCGGGCAAACAAACCCATCGGTTTCAGCTTGCCTTCTTGACAATGGGTCTGCCCAAAACCTCCAACAGTCGCTCCGATAGTGTCCGGGCACTTTACACCCGTAGCATATCGGAGACAGTCTACGAGGCGATTCATTACCAGTCAGCTGATAGGCCCGATGGTCACGGTCACCCTCACGCAGTCTCTCCCGGCTTGACTCTGGACGTCCGCGCCATCCTCCATCATGCGACCGCTCCTGCCGGTCATCGCGACCATATCTACCATCACCACCGCTCATATCCGCAGTTAGTGAATGTCCAAATCCAGATCCTCGACAGCACCGCCAAATCCCTTAGTAACCACAGACACCAATGAAACGTGCTCACTCACTCCCAGACTAGTAACCCGGGCAGGTTCACACACGCAGCAACAAGTTTCTTATGCAAATATACATGGATCATGACACAATGATACATCAGAATGACACATCAATAGGCATGGTATCACACCAAGCTTAGTGTACAATTACACCAAAATAAGTGTGCAAGTCAAAGAACGATTGAATTGAAAAATAGCACGTTAAGGACTCCGTCACTCACTTCGCTACACCCCGTGGTCCGGCTGACACGTCCACTACCCGACTAGCGCTATCGAATGATAGCGCCCAGAGAGGACTATCACAACACAACCATTCTCTATATATACCCGGTCAACCCAGCTGCTTGCCGAAGTAACACACCGGTCCATCACACCAGTCCGAGGGTCCAAATGCCCGCATAGGTCCAAATGCCCCCTTAGGTCTCCCCATACCCCATAATCCCCTAAATTGATGTAGCTACAACCATGGAAAGTTACAGGCTACAGGCTAATGAGGCGGGGGAGCGGGTTGATTGGAGAAATCAAGGGCTAGTCATAAGGAGCTGGAATGTCAATGGGCTTGGGAACGTGGCGGAGAAAGAAGAGAAACTGAACGACCTGCTATCAGGGATGACAACTGCTAATAGTAAAACAACAGATATTTTACTATTACAGGAAACCCACCTCACCTTTTCACCAGAACACAACGGAATCCGGACTTTCCTGGCAAGGAAAATAGGAGGCTTAAAGGACGAAATATGGTCGGCGAACCTAGCCTCAAGTTGCAAGGGAACAACAATCCTCATCCCCAAAACATCCCGCCTATACACAACAGGCACAATCATAGACAAGAAAGCAGACCCGATCGAAGGACGATGGTGTTTGATGCAGATCAAGTGGAAGGAAAAGGAACTAACTCTGATTAATGTTTGTGCGCCAAATTCTGCGGCAGAAAGAGCGGGCTTTCTGACCAACATTAGGAATTTGGTGCCACCAATGCTTCCTTGTATCCTAGCAGGTGACTGGAACGCTACCTTAGACCCAGCAACCGACCGTATAACACGCTCTTCCAACACCCCCTCCATGTCAGAGGCACTCCCGATTCAAGAAGTAATGGTGGATCTTAACCTAGTTGACCCTTACAGGACTTTCTACCCTATGAAAAGAGCCTTCACCTTGGTCAAGAAAAACCATGCACACCACACTGCCTTCTCACGAATAGACTATTTCCTGTTGTCAGAAACTCTAATGGGGGCAGTCAAGGACGCGGGGATTTTACCTCTAGCGCCGTACACAGGGCTAGATCATAAACCAATTGAACTGATAATAGCCTTCGACCATGCAGTCAAAAGGGGAGCTAACTTTCACAAACTCAACAATGCTCTTCTACTCAGTCTGACCTTCCAAAAAGAAATACACGACTGCTGGCTCGGCCAGAGGGCAGCTCAACTAAACATAGAAAATCGTTGGGATTGGTTCCAAAAGAGCTACTCAACCCTATCCGTCGAAGCGACCAGAATCTGCTTGCCTCTATGAGAAAACAAAGAAGGCAAGCTCTCGAATTTGCTTTGAAATTAGCGGAATCCAATCTAATTGATAACCCCTCCTCGTCCCTTTATAATGAAATTTTTGAGAAGGCAGTGAAGGCACGGGAAGAATTGGCTATGTGGAGATGGTGGGACCTGAAGGGGCTGCAAATCAGGGCTAGAATGTGCGAATATGAACTTAACATGGTTGTCAACCGGACGTCCGGATCGGGATCCAGACGGTCCGGTCTGGATGTCTGGATCCAGTGTCCGGTTTGAGGTGTCCGGTTGGGCCCCATTTTGAGAAAATTCGAAAAAAAAGAATTGGGGTCCCCAGGCAATTTTCCAGTGCCTGGTGGACACCCGAAAATTGTTGGTGCAGTTTTTGGGGGACCGCTGGGCCAACCGGACCGGCCTTGAAGGGCCTGTACTTGCAATCTTGGGCGAGCTTCAACGGGCCAAGCAGAACTGGTTGTCTGTGTGTGTGTGTGTGTGTGTGTGTGTGTGTGTGTGTGTGTGTGTGTGTGC